AAGTTGGGGGAAAAAAACAACAACAATAAAACATTTTTATTCAAAGCTGTCTCAGGGCCCCTCCCTGCAGTGGGCCCTGGGTAAACGGTACCCTTTCCCCCCCCAGTCCGACGCCCCTGGTTATGAGCGCTAAACGTTATTTTGCCGCTGCCGTGCGGAACGGTAGGGAAACACATCTCAAACACGGAACCGAGTCTGGTTACCGAACCGAGCAGAATTCTGATGACGTCACACCGATGCGCGAAGGTGCGGGATCCAACCCACAGGAGAGGAGGGAGAGAGGAGGTAAAGAGCGAGTGGATCACAGGGACTGAACTGATGTTTGAGCAAAACTGCGGTAAAATGGCTGTTTGTCCTCATTATCTAAAGTGTACCCCCCCTGCTAATTCGTTACTTTCCACCTCTGCTTTTTATTATTTTTGCAAAATGCAGGACCAGAGCGAATACGGTTTGGTTAGAAAAATGAGACAGTCCAAATGTTAATAGGGCCACTAATAGCTTACTGCTATTATGGACCAGTCCGAAGTCGGCATAAAAAGCATCGGTACTGTTGGCCCAAAAAGAATGTCCACCAACCACTGTACGCCTGATAGAGAGCCCAGCGGTGGCACGGATGCACATTAATAGTTATTAATGAAATATCGCAATAAAGAGCCTCCAGTTCAGATGCTAACGCTAGCATGAATGTACAAAGATGAAAAACAAAAACGTGGTCCTACATGACAAATCTATAATTCCAGTCATTAAAAATAAATATTTAACTTTCCACCATAAAACTCCCAAAATTACTATGGTGCAAGTGATGTTTCATTTCGTGTCATGTTTTGTAAGCTAAACTTTGACAAGTGGGTTTCTGGTGATCTATAGATTGACTTAACACTAACCAAAACCACAATTTACATTCTTAAGAGTGATAAACTTACCTTTTAGAAGCTTTCAAGTTGGAGGATGAACAGTGATTGTCTTCTTTTTCTTCTTCAACGTAGCTGACTGCTGACTGTTCAAGAACAGAACTTCAAAAATGTGCTTCAAAAGAAATACTGTATTAGACAGTTTTTTGGCCGTAATTTTCCGGCTGTCATAATTCAACAAAAAAACATCAGATTTAACACATTATCCCACCGTAATTTGGAAAAACGGTATGTTACTGTTGGAATTCTGCCGTAAATTTACAGAAATTTCTGAGTGTTGATAAGAGATACCCGAATGCACTCACCCTTCCAGCTAACCTTAGCTCGACTGACTGACGAAGCAGGTTCTAGAGCCCTATTTATAGGCTGGCAAGATGACGTCACAAAGCGACGTAATAACGTCGAAACCTCTCAGACCAAAGATAGGTCCAATATAAGATAAAACATTATCATAAACACTGCAGAGACGTCATTATTCATGAAATATAAGTTATTTTCCTGAGCCATTACTTCAGCCAAGAAATAAGATGCATGGATTTGATGAAACCATGCTGTCTCATGCAGTCCTATATGTGTAACTAACACACACACACACACACACACACACACACACACACACACACACTCACTCACTCACTAGAATCATCTGAATGACTAATTTAACTACATTGAACTGCTTTTGTAATTATTTAATCTCTTATTCTGGAGTAAAACAAGCTAAATCATCACATATCTGTGGCATCAAGGGGCATCTTGAGTTCAAACACAGGGATGGAGCACAATGTTTACACCTGAAACAGCATCAGGATGTTTTAACTCACAGAGGCTTGCAGGTCTTCTGTTTAATTAGCAAAGTACTGAGAATCCGCTTGTTATGAGCGCTAAACGTTATTTTGCCGCTGCCGTGCGGAACGGTAGGGAAACACATCTCAAACACGGAACCGAGTCTGGTTACCGAACCGAGCAGAATTCTGATGACGTCACACCGATGCGCGAAGGTGCGGGATCCAACCCACAGGAGAGGAGGGAGAGAGGAGGTAAAGAGCGAGTGGATCACAGGGACTGAACTGATGTTTGAGCAAAACTGCGGTAAAATGGCTGTTTGTCCTCATTATCTAAAGTGTACCCCCCCTGCTAATTCGTTACTTTCCACCTCTGCTTTTTATTATTTTTGCAAAATGCAGGACCAGAGCGAATACGGTTTGGTTAGAAAAATGAGACAGTCCAAATGTTAATAGGGCCACTAATAGCTTACTGCTATTATGGACCAGTCCGAAGTCGGCATAAAAAGCGTCGGTACTGTTGGCCCAAAAAGAATGTCCACCAACCACTGTACGCCTGATAGAGAGCCCAGCGGTGGCACGGATGCACATTAATAGTTATTAATGAAATATCGCAATAAAGAGCCTCCAGTTCAGATGCTAACGCTAGCATGAATGTACAAAGATGAAAAACAAAAACGTGGTCCTACATGACAAATCTATAATTCCAGTCATTAAAAATAAATATTTAACTTTCCACCATAAAACTCCCAAAATTACTATGGTGCAAGTGATGTTTCATTTCGTGTCATGTTTTGTAAGCTAAACTTTGACAAGTGGGTTTCTGGTGATCTATAGATTGACTTAACACTAACCAAAACCACAATTTACATTCTTAAGAGTGATAAACTTACCTTTTAGAAGCTTTCAAGTTGGAGGATGAACAGTGATTGTCTTCTTTTTCTTCTTCAACGTAGCTGACTGCTGACTGTTCAAGAACAGAACTTCAAAAATGTGCTTCAAAAGAAATACTGTATTAGACAGTTTTTTGGCCGTAATTTTCCGGCTGTCATAATTCAACAAAAAAACATCAGATTTAACACATTATCCCACCGTAATTTGGAAAAACGGTATGTTACTGTTGGAATTCTGCCGTAAATTTACAGAAATTTCTGAGTGTTGATAAGAGATACCCGAATGCACTCACCCTTCCAGCTAACCTTAGCTCGACTGACTGACGAAGCGGGTTCTAGAGCCCTATTTATAGGCTGGCAAGATGACGTCACAAAGCGACGTAATAACGTCGAAACCTCTCAGACCAAAGATAGGTCCAATATAAGATAAAACATTATCATAAACACTGCAGAGACGTCATTATTCATGAAATATAAGTTATTTTCCTGAGCCATTACTTCAGCCAAGAAATAAGATGCATGGATTTGATGAAACCATGCTGTCTCATGCAGTCCTATATGTGTAACTAACTAACACACACACACACACACACACACACACACACACACACACACACACACACACACACACACACACACACACACACACACACACACACACACACACACACACACACACACACACACACACACACACACACACACACACACACACACCAGCAGCAGCAGCAGCATGTTAGAATCATCTGAATGACTAATTTAACTACATTGAACTGCTTTTGTAATAATGTAATCTCTTATTCTGGAGTAAAACAAGCTAAATCATCACATATCTGTGGCATCAAGGAGCATCTTGAGTTCAAACACAGGGATGGAGCACAATGTTTACACCTGAAAAAGTATCAGGATGTTTTAACTCACAGAGGCCTGCAGGTCTTCTGTTTAATTAGCAAAGTACTGAGAATCCGCTTGTTATGAGCGCTAAACGTTATTTTGCCGATGCCGTGCGGAATGGTAGGGAAACACATCTCAAACACGGAACCGAGTCTGGTTACCGAACCGAGCAGAATTCTGATGACGTCACACCGATGCGCGAAGGTGCGGGATCCAAGCCACAGGAGGAGGGAGAGAGTAGGTAAAAAGCGAGTGGATTACAGGGACTGAACTGATGTTTGAGCAAAACTGCGGTAAAATGGCTGTTTGTCCTCATTATCTAAAGTGTACCCCCCCTGCTAATTCGTTACTTTCCACCTCTGCTTTTTATTATTTTTGCAAAATGCAGGACCAGAGCGAATACGGTTTGGTTAGAAAAATGAGACAGTCCAAATGTTAATAGGGCCACTAATAGCTTACTGCTATTATGGACCAGTCCGAAGTCGGCATAAAAAGCGTCGGTACTGTTGGCCCAAAAAGAATGTCCACCAACCACTGTACGCCTGATAGAGAGCCCAGCGGTGGCACGGATGCACATTAATAGTTATTAATGAAATATCGCAATAAAGAGCCTCCAGTTCAGATGCTAACGCTAGCAAGAATGTACAAAGTTGAAAAACAAAAACGTGGTCCTACATGACAAATCTATAATTCCAGTCATTAAAAATAAATATTTAACTTTCCACCATAAAACTCCCAAAATTACTATGGTGCAAGTGATGTTTCATTTCGTGTCATGTTTTGTAAGCTAAACTTTGACAAGTGGGTTTCTGGTGATCTATAGATTGACTTAACACTAACCAAAACCACAATTTACATTCTTAAGAGTGATAAACTTACCTTTTAGAAGCTTTCAAGTTGGAGGGTGAACAGTGATTGTCTTCTTTTTCTTCTTCTTCAACGTAGCTGACTGTTCAAGAACTGAACTTCAAAAATGTGCTTCAAAAGAAATACTGTATTAGACAGTTTTTTGGCCGTAATTTTCCGGCTGTCATAATTCAACAAAAAAAAACATCAGATTTAACATTATCCCACCATAATTTGGAAAATCGGTATGTTACTGTTGGAATTCTGCAGTAAATTTACAGAAATTTCTGAGTGTTGATAAGAGATACCCGAATGCACTCACCCTTCCAGCTAACCTTAGCTCGACTGACTGACTAAGCGGGTTCTAGAGCCCTATTTATAGGCTGGCAGTATGACGTCACAAAGCGACGTAATAACGTCGAAACGTAGAGTGAGAGGAGGACGCAAACGCAGACAACGGCTGGACAAACGATTCCATTGGCTTCAATAACACGTTTGTTGTCTATAATGGCAGGTGGCCACCACCGCCATTTTGACCGTGTCACAGGTTCCGTCCAGCCCAGACAATTCCATAAAAGGGAAGAGAGGAGGTGCTGAGGGTGTGGCTGTAAGGCTGGGCTCGAGTGACGACACCCAGGCGAACTAGCTACGAGCTAACCTGAAGCTAACCCAAAAAAAATAATAATTAAAAAAAAAAAAACCTGAAGCTAACCCTGGCTAACCCAAAGCTAAAGCGGAGGTGGGAGCCGAGCTAACGGATGTAGCCACCTAGCTTCAACCCAACCGGAGCTAACTGGAACACCCATCGACCTGAACCTCACACGGAGTTTAGGTGGAGGTTTTCTGCGCCTGTTCGTGAGAAGTACCTGTATTAAAAAAGATTTAAATCGGTAAGTTTATAATTTATTTCCGTAATGAATACATTTTGCTTTGAGCAAGTTTTCAGTACAGTTTTTTTCGGCGCTATCACTCCTGAGTCGCACCAGCCATTAAATGTATCATGAAGAAGAGAAAATATATTTAAGTCGTATTTTGGGGGACATTTTATTATCTTTCTTACAAAATCTGAGACCAAGCGTTTCACATTGCAACACAAGCACCGGTAACCATAACAGAATGAACAACAGCCAGCAGAGGAGAGGATGGCGGTGTTTCAAACCCTCCCGGCCGGCGAGGAGAGCTCATTCCTGGGCTGGAGCCGGCCCTCAGCACCCCGCCACAGGCTCTAACAGATGCTGGCGGTGTTTGAAACCCTCCCAGCGGGACAGGGGAACTCATTCTTGTGTGGGTCGGAGTCGGCCCGCAGCAGCGCGGTGTAGCCTACATATTTTGTTATATAAGTCGCTCTGGAGTATAAGTAGCAGGACCAGCCAGAATATGTAAAAAAGTGCGAGTTATAGTCCGGAAAATATGGCAGTTATTAGTATTCGAGCTAAATTAGCAGCGTAAATACATTTCATATATTTCCAAAATGTAATACTTGTTTGTATCTTGTACAGCCAACTAGTCTTTATTCTGGACTCAGTACAATTTACCAAAAGTAAAGAGACATTCTACAGATGAAGTAAGCACAAGATAACTTACTGGAAGACACGGGATTATCATGAGAACCAGAACAAGAGAGCCTGATAACAGTCATGTGAAAATAACAGTTAAAAAGTATGTATGTATAATAGAAATAAAAATATATTAGAATTAGTGTAACTCACTGTGATCCAAACAATAAATCAGCCATAGCAGATTAGTAAATATGACATGAGGTCTTGGAGTTTTTAATTTTCATTTTTTTCTTAGATCTGTTTAAATGTCACCATGGCAGCCTGTGTGTCTCCAACATCAGCTACACAAAGCAGCTAGTGTAAGTTCCACATACCTGTCTCACCACTTCATGTATGGTTTTGTACTTTGAACAATTATGACAAACCTGTTATTTTTTCTCCATAGCCATTTGGATCATTGGAGACAGCTATGTGAGGCGTGGTGCCCAGAGAGCTGCAGAGACAACCTTGGCCTCCCTGACGTCTGTGTCTCCTGGTTCGGTTGGGGCGGACCATCGACATACATACATGTGCCGACACTTTGCGCCCTGTTTTATAAAATTTAGTGTTAAAAATAAATGTTTTTGCTCAATTACTGGAATTTCTTTGGTTAAGACAAAAGTGAGGAATAATCATTTACAAGTTATTTGTACAACAGGCCCATTTTAAATCCCAACAGTTTCTTAGCAGACAATAGAAATGTGTTCTTTACTAACTTTACTTGGTTTAAAAATCTTACTAAAATAGTGCCGTATTGCAAAACCCAATCATACTTGTTATGTAAACATTAGCTTTGTAGATATTTTTTACAGATATATGTGTGCAACAAATCCAAACTTAAATAATTTGTCATTCTTTATTGAAAAACAACAAAATACAGTTATACAGAAGTGTGGGAAAATGATAATGTGAAAGTATTGCTATTTAAATGTAATCCTATTTATCTTTAAAAAGAAAAACTCTTAAAAATGTCCTGTACAGCATCATGACAGAAGAATGGTGGTCTGTCTGTCAGAATGTGCTGAACAGATTTGCTCTTTGAAGAGGAGCGTCATGTTTGGAGGAAGGTACTTAACCCAAGACATGCAGAATACAACACTGACCAAAAACTGATGGAAAAAATGATTTATTTATAAGGAGGAACTTAAGGTGCACAGATAAGTCTGTGGTTGGAACTGCAACAACAGCTCAGCGTCTGGAGGAGGGAGAACACAGGTGAGCATAGGTTCTGGTTTCAAAATCCATTGTAGGCAGGCAGAGGTGTTCAGCAGACTTACTGTGGTGGGTGTATGTGTTGGCTGGAGGAGAGAGAGGTAGAGAGGAAGCGCAGGAGAGGGAGCAGAGGTGGAGAGAAGCGGGGCGTCCTGGTGGATGGGGCACTGGGTGAGATGAGAGGTGGGTTATGGAGGCTGGTGATAAGGTCCGTGTGTTGAATATCCAAATCCTGGAGTAGACTTCAGTATCCAATGAGGTCGACAGGAATCCTGAAGAATGGTAAATCCAATATAAGAGCAAAAACACTACGAAATAACATTAATCCTAGGAACACTAGAGGTAACACGAGTGGCTGGTTACTACCAAAACTGAGGCAATCTTCTGGCGTCAAATTGTGTCCTCCATCCACCTTAAATAGGAAAGCACCCCGCTGATCGCTGATCAGGAACGGCTGGGGTGGAGTCACCAGAACCATGAAGAACGTGTCTCCAGAGACAACCCGGGTCCTGGTACCAATCAGGAAGCGGACCTTATCACCCAGAGCTGCCAGGTCACGCTCAAAGCCTTCCTGTTCACACTGCAGAGCCTGAACGCTGGCCAGGTGGTGGCCGTAGTTGTCTGTGTTCAGGGCCTGGTTCTTCTCCTCGATCCACTCTTTGGTCTCATCAGCGTCTCTGAGAAGACATCAGAACTCCATCTGAGTGTGGGTCCAAACTCTACTGACCCGTAAGCGGCGCATAAGTGTGCGGGGTACCTGTGGAAGCGCTGCACCTCATGGGCGCTGCCCAGCATGTTGCTCCGGTCTTCAGCCAGCTGTTGCAGCGAGCGCCAGCTGTTGTTCAGCTCCTGGAGAGAAACCAAACCCAGTGAGATGAAGATGGACGCCAGCGGGCTGGACGCCGGACAAGGAAACCTGGAGACGGATCGCTCAGACAGGAAGGGAAGAGCTTCCTCTTACCTTGATGGAATTAAAGTTAGCCGTCGTCTGAACGCCCAACCGTACGGTCTGAGGTCAAAGGTCACAGGAAACACACACCAGTCAGCAGTCATACAGATGCATAAAGATAACTGTAGCCATGGCAACCAGCTGACATGTCCCCACTTTCACCAGCACCTGGTGCCTGCCGGGTCACCTGAATTCCTGTGTGATGTCAGCACGGTCGGCCGTGACTGCGGCCATCAGAGGTGACCTCTGATCAGCTGAATGAACTCACCTTCTAGGGTGACGCCGTGTTACCCCGGGTTTCCACGGGAGCCGTCAGCAGCACGTTACTGCAGCAGCACGTCTTGCTCGCGTAAGCTGCTGCTTGGCCCTTCCCACGAGACGCGAAGCAGCAGGGGAGCAGCTGTCACCGACCGAGCACGAAGTCACACGAGTGACTTCGTCAGTAAACACAACAACAAGCAGGAGAAAACTACAACATGGTTTGTGTTTTATGTTCTGTCCATTTTATAATCGCCAATACGGACCTGAAAAACAAAGGAGACCGCTAGCTAGGTGATAACTTCTCACGGGGCCGCACAGTTAGTAACTGTTTTTAAAAGTAAAGCAACCGGAAGGCAGTACGTTCTTTATTCTGAAAATCTCGGTAGCTTCTCTCAATTTCCGCGTCCGATTTCCTGTCTTTCCTTCCCCAAAAATGTCGAACTTGACCCGTTTCAGAGGCGTCGCGCGTAGAAAATAGAACCGGCGCGTAAGGGCCGCAACTTGCTGCTCCTGAGACGTGGCCGACTCTCGCTGCCGACGGCTCCAGTGGAAAAGGTTCTGTTGACCACAGCGGTTCCTATCAGCAGCTATGACGTGCTGCTGCAGTAACGTGCTGCTGACAACTCCTGTGGAAAGCCGGGGTTAGAGTCGGCTTCATCCTGTAAACAAACAAATGAGTGGTAACAAAAACACCACGTCTGGTTCTGGTGGAGGCGGAGGACAACACGCACCTTTCCAGGAGCAGAACCCAGATGTTCTTGTTGCTACAAACAGAGACGAGCAGAGTTAACAAACCAGGAAGTGAGAGGGACCAGCTGCTGCAGACAGGTGACGCTCACCTGAGCCTGAACCATAGGAGCCTCCTCAGCCATCAGACCTTCTGACTCCAGTTCAGATGCCACCTTGTTGATGTCCCTCAGGCGGGACTCGTTGGCCTTCAGGTCCTGCAGGACAAAAGCACCTGCTGATTATCACCTGAGCTGATCTGACAGCTGCTGCTGGAAGACGGAGAGGAGGAAAAGTCCGACCTTCTGGAAGTCGTCAAACTTCTTCTGCAAGACCTCGACCTGCTCCAGGTCCGACCCGTCTCTCCATCCTCATTCAGCTAAAGACGCGAGTTCAAGTAAAACAACCTAAAGTCACACAAACACAAAGCAGGTGTGGAGATGTTCGCTCTGAGCTGGAGGTCGTTCCTCGGCTGTGAAGGGCACACGAACCTTGTTGGTGCTGTTGAGCAGCGTGAGGATGTCGCCCTTCTTCATGGTGACCTCTCCAGGACTCTTCTCCTGGTAGTCGTACAGAGCCAGAACCAGCTCCTTCCCGGTCTCATCGTCAGTTGGAGCCACTTGTTGCTGTCGGGTTAACAGGTCTGGTGTTAGAACGTGGTGGATAAGAATGTTCTGACGGGCCGAGGGTTCTGAACCAGCGAAGTGACCTGGACCCAAACAAAGTGAGCCAGAACCTGCAGACACCTCAGAAACATGTCAGGACCAGACCTGCTCTACCTTCCTCCATTATGGTCTCTCCTTTCTGGGTGACAGCCTTGATGCGAGGTTCATGACCTGTGATCTCAGCCTGCAGAGCCTCGTGCTTCTTCAGCAGGTTCTGGACACCTATCAGGTCCTTCCCTGAGGACACATGTTAGAGTTCAGCATTATGCAGTAGACAGACCAGTTTAACCCAGGGGTTTCTTTCTTCTACAATCTGCTCTTTAACTGTATTATTTCCTGCTATTTCAGCTGTTAACTTCATTTTTTCTCTAAGTGTTTTTCTCCCCAGAAGAAGCTACAACGATGTTCTGCTGAGCTGTGGTGGCCTCATGGAGGGGGCCATCATCTAGCACACTGCTGCTAACCACTTAATCATTCTCCCTCTCCTGATAATAACATTTTACTTTCTTTGATGTTGGATGTACTACTGCTAGTTTACCCGTTTAATTATAGATTCACTAGGATAAATACAATAAAGTTTATCTCTCACCAAATAGAATATTTACTAAGAAATCACAATGTAACGTGTGTGTGTGTGTGTGTGTGTATGTGTGTGTGTGTGTATGTGTGTGTGTGTGTGTGTAAAAGCCATGTGTAGTGTTTATTTATAAAGCATATGTTGTTGGATTTTATCCAGAATCGAGATTTTGAAAATATATACACACTTAAAACTGCTGGGTTAAAAATAACCCAACTTGGGTTATTTTGTAACCCAGGCGCTGGGTCAAAAAGGGACCGACCCAACGCTGGGTTGTATTAACCAAGCAGGGTTGGGTTATGTGTTTGACCCAGCATATTGGGTTATGTTTTCTACCCAACTAATGGGTTAAAATGACCCAACTGTATAATTAGGGTAACCCAAAACTGGGTTAAAAAGAAAACCCAACTTCTGGGTTATTTAATAACTAAAGATTGGGTTAAAATGACCCAATTCTATAATATAGGGTTATAGGAAAAAAATAAATAAAATGCTTAATGAATAACTTACTACACAAAATGAACATGTCTCAGTCAATTCTTTATTGACCAAATAAGTTGTTTTTTTTTCATTTTTAAAATGCATAACAATACTAATACAACTAGAGAGTATTTAAAAACATTTATAGTCCCGCTCATTTTTTTTTTGTAAAACTCTGCTTATTGCATTTGTGTAAATGTGTTTTAATGACAAATATAAAAATATTAGACACCTGAAGATCATGAACATTTTCAACCCAATGCTAATGGAAGAACTGTACTTACGTAAATGTCCAAAAACATGTAACTCATCTCCATGCTAGCAAAACATCAACTTTAAATCATAGCCAACTGAGCCCTCATTAGCTTTACAGCATTTGATTCATGCCCAGGCATTTCAAAGATGACCGTTTGAATGAACTCCCAAATTTGGGCACATGGTTTTGGGTAATTCACATCTAACACAAAAAATGTTTTAAAACAGCCATCAACTGCACCCAAAAGTGATGGATAATCCATGGCAGTCCCATTGAGGATAACGAATGCTTGGGAACATCGATGGTCTTCACCAAGCATAAGAACATGTGGGTCGTCTGTTGTGGCCCCGGTCAGGTACTCCACCATGTTGGTTCCAGTCTAAAAGTAAGGGGAATTGAAGAAAAAAAAAGAGAAAGAAAGGGAAAAAAATTAAGGCATGAAAAAGAAATGGTTTCATACAAGTTGTGGAAGCATATTTGGAGTTGGCTGTCAATAATAGTGGTGCAACTGTACAGATAGCCCACAGTACGGTCTGTAGTACGGTTTTTAGACCACGGTCTCAGTATGGTTTTGGCATACGTTTTGTGCAGAAAGGCTGCTGTTTGTTATCCCAAAAAGTGTATTTAATTTTTTTGTGAGCAAAAACATTTGCATTATTTCAATTATTACTTGTATCAAATACAAAATCTAAAAAGATATGTAAAATGTAAACAAACAAAATGCAAAACACAAAATGCATGTAAACACTCCAAAAAACTGGAATACAAAAATTCACATACCGGTAATATAAAGATGACTATTTTAAATGAGTGAGCTATGTTAATGAAACACAAAGTTTAAAATAGTTTAAACAAATGTTATATTTTGCACTGCAGCAATGCATACAATTGAGTCCTCAATGGTTCATTGCTCACTAAACACAAAAGCTGCATTAATGTCTAGCTCGCAAACTGGGAGCTGACTGCTCAGAGAAAGACAGGGAGAGGTCAGCAGCTCCTGTGCTGCACACAGAACAGCTGACAGGCCAGAGCAACTTGGGATTTCCGCAAAATAAATCAGAAAACCATCATTCAAAGACATTTATTTAATTCTGACCACGTCAATTGGAGACATGTTTCCTGACTTCCAAACTTTGGCTGACAACCCAGCGAGCGTTTGGCGTCAGGTGCAGGTGGAGTGGCGCTCTGTGCCAGACAAGATGCAGAGCCATGCGCTCTCACATAAGTGTAATGAATTCATGTAGCCTGTAACTCTGCTCCATGTGTGGCATGGTTTAGAGTAGGAATGGGCGATATAAACTTAATCCACAATAGAGATTTTCCCTCTACTGCAATAGAATGGATTTTTCCAGCTGTACCATGATGGGACGCAGCAGCATAAATGATGTTCAGCGTTTATAGTCCCTGTAGATCAGAAATCGCACTGCCATTTTAATTAATACTGAACCAAACCAGCCTGAACAGAGATTCAAACCGTGCCACCACACATGGACCAGAGTAACAGGCTACAGGAATTAATTATAAACACACCTGTTACCAGAGTGCGTATGGCGCTGCGTCCTGCCTCGCACAGAACGGCGCTCCCCCTGCACGAACGAGAGCTAACAATGCTAACAGTAAATTAGAAAGAGTCAACTCTAAAAATATCTCAAGTTGCTTTTTTCAATTACCACAGATGCTATTGGAGTGAAATGTATTTATCTACTAACAATATCAACTACTGTGTCTGACTCGTCTTGTTATGATTCTAGTCCGAACGAGGAACCAGGGAGGGAATTTTTCTGCAGCACTCCGATTTGACCACAAGATGTCAGTGTTACGTATCCCTCATTAAATTTACAGTCTTTCTCCTGGCATTCAGTTTTAAGTCTGTAAATCTTTCATTTATTCATTTTACCAATTTTGAATTTATTATAATTTAATGTGCACATAAATGGAAGCAAGTGAAAAATTTAAAATTTCAATTAAAAATTTCCACTGTTATGTCAGTGCTAAATAAATATTTCAGTTTTGTTTTATTGCAATGCCTTGATTATAGTGAAGTTGGAATACATTGTAGCCATAAATGCTATGGTTGACTTTTAGCTTATTGACATGCTAATTGACCATTTTTCTTTCAGTGCTGCAGTTTTCAGCCTTGGTTTTCTCATTTTAGGTTTTTGGTTTCAGCCAAGAATTTTCATGTTGGTGCATCCCTAGAAAATAATACCTAATGTCAAAATTAATAGAACTTACTGGCTGGATGTCAATGAAGGCCTTGCGAACCACGCTGCTGGGTCGGAGGAGTCTCCTTCCAACTTTGTATGGTGCAGTAGGGAGAATCAGTGGGAGCAACAACAAAGCGGCATCTTCCTGTTTGTCTGTAAAATGGAAATGTTTCACATTTCTCAAGGTTACCAAACTTAGAAAATGACAACCATAAAATATGAACTGCAATGATTTTGAGGTCAGAACACACTGGCTGATATCTTTCAAAAACAAAGTTGGAACTATTCAAAAACAGAAAAATGGATGGGTGAAAATCTTATATCGCCCACATCAAGTCAGACAGAAAAAACTGCCTCAGATGTTACCATAAAACCTACTGAATACAACAAGTGATATGTTTGTTAAAACAAGGTGAAGTACTCCCATTGGCAACACAAGATGTTTACCATATATTCAGCTCATCTCCAAAGCTCCAGCAGATAATAAAAATTTGTAAGAAATTGTATACAGCGCATTTACTGTCCTCTAATGCCTGCACACCTAATAGGCTACGTATTGACAATGAGATCAAAATAAAAAATTTAAATGTCTCATTGTACTTATAGAGCCTTTATTTAAGCTAATTTTTCAAAGATTGTTTCATAGTTGTTTTTTTTACCGTAAATGACAAGTTGATTGATCTGAAAGAGAAGCAATACACACTGCTTTTTAAGGACTTTCCATTTTTGTCTGAGTTGATGCTAACCTTGCCCTGCAAGATGTTTTCTCGCAAGATTTGGAGTTTTCCAAACTCGTGAGAATCCATCTTGGCCTCCTCCAATCCTGATGGTTCAGCATCAGCTCAATGGTAAACGGACTAATCGTGTGTCAGCATTGTGCTTTTTGGCAGGCGCATGAGCAGCTGTTTGGGCATGCCGACAAACATGGCAGTGCCGGTGGATGTCAGAGCAGTTACTGGTTTCAGAATGGATATAACCTCCAGCAAAAGGTAGGCCTAGGTAGTCTCATTTATAGCTCCAATACGGCGCTATATTGAATATCTGTTTTAGAAAAACTAGAGACTTAGCTGTGATTGGCTAAAGACAAACCATGGTAGCCAGTGTTCGGACACTTGCTGGTGCTTCCTCCAATCAGCTCAAAGTATTCCAGCAGATGGCCCACCCTCCTTCCTAGGCTTTCTAATGCAGCCTGCGGCGGAGATTCCAGATCGAAATATGGAGACTCGACAGGTGGCGGGGCTACATAGAGAGAGCTGACTGCTGCCAGCTTAAGCTGATGCAACTAGAACAGCAAACCTATAGTCCATGACCTCATCTACTTTCAGTCACTCAGAATTATGAGGTAACTGGAATGCACCATCAGAGCTTCAGCACCTGGATTTTCAAGTTGTGTGCTGCTACTTTCTGGAGAAAAGCTGGCTGGCTATGGCTAACCTTACAATTTCTTTTATATTTCCATCCCATCTTCAAGATGTAGCCCATTATAAGGCGTGTAAAGGCTTTTAAATTGAGGACAAAGTGTGGCTTGTATAATTATTATTTAGCTGCTGAGCTACTTTATATTGGTACTGGAAACAGTTGACCTTGTTCTAACAGATATGTCTTGTTTTATTTGTTCAGTGGGGTTTATGTGAACACCTGAAGCTATTTTAACAAGTCTGTTCTGTCTGAGGCGGTTTAGTAAGAAGAATAAAAAGTGTGTTCTTGAGAAATGTCTTTTTATCTAATGTCTGACATCTGAGGTGTTCTTTCTGAGGTCTTACTCATGTATTCTTGAGACCCGAGGATGTCCTAAAATGCACACTGTATAACCGTCCAGAAGGACAATGATCTTGGCAATCCACCAATCAGGCCTGGATGGTAGCATGGTCAGACAGAAGCCACTTCACAGTAAAAGGCTCGTATCAGCGATCCACTTTGAGTTGCTTGAGATAATGGGCTGCACCGCAATGCATGCTACTGGTGCAAATGGCTGAATTAAAAAAATGCACTAGTGTGTTCTGTCCCATATCAGCCTAGCCAAAAATGTTATAGTAAACTCTTGACTCAAAATAAAAATTAAATAAAGTTGACAATGATTGTGAAATGCAAATACCTGCTGGAAGCGAATCTATGTCGATGAGACGGTTAGCTGCGTCTTCTTTTCTGGCCATGCGGATGATCTTTCGGGAGAACACGTGGCTCCACCTTGCAGTTAATTTCTCTGAGGAGTCTGGGTGTAGCACAGAGAAGTCCTGAGAAATCTTACAATGGGGGGGGGGGGGGGGGGGGGGGGGTAAGAGACATATTGTTAAACACAAAAACTGATTTGTGAAATTTACTGTATAAGAAAGCTCACCATGCCTGGAGTGTCAACCAAACGTGGAAACTCGGCCATTATTTCTCTGATTGACATTGTCCCATTGCTTCTAATCCACTGGGCTCGTTGGATAGCGGTCTCCAGCATATACTGGGAAACTTGTGATGGTGGCCAGATATTGTTTTTCAGCCATTCTGTCATCTGGATGGCTCGCTCTGGAGATACAGTAGGTTCTGTTGTAGATTAAAAAAGAAAAAAACATTCTGAATAGTGATGACCGATCATGACCTTTACAATTTAAAAATATGTCAGAATTGTTTCATTTCAGCAAATGCCCTAGAGAAAGAGTGCAACCATTAAGTAGACTGTAATGGCGCTTTTACACTTGGGCCAGCTTGTCCCGCTCCACTCCAGCCGGGTTGTGTTCACATGTTGCCGGTGAGGAATTGGGCCATGAGCGGAGCCAGCAGGTGGCGGGAAAGAATGCAGGTAAACAAAGGCAGGAGCAGCATTGGGGAGAGCGGGGGATATCTCGGAAGGAAACAACGCAGAGGAGGTCGCAATTTATTTGTACGTTGTGCGTGGACTGGCTCTTTTTAAAGAAAAAATCTCCTTGTTTGACATGTGAGGAGACGTCGTTCTGGTAGAGAATCACTGGAAGCCGCTCAGCAGAGCTGGGAGAAGGCAGACAGCACATCGGGTGAGCGCCGGTTACAGTTTCCAGCTGCAATGTGTTTAAATCAGTTAGAAAGAGCGAGAGTGACATCACTATGCAGGGCTTATCAGTTCATAGGTGGGCGTGTTGGCCAGAGTGGAACCAAGGTTTCCTCGGTCCGAAAATGGTGTCCGTTCCGCGCAGCTCTACTCGAGAAAAAGAGTGTGAACGCTCTGAGCGGGGCCGTATCATGCGGAGCCGACGCCAGTGTAAAAGCGCTATAAGATTAAGGCAAGTTGGCTTTACCAGGCAAAACAATCTGGCATTTTTGTGGCGCTTGAGGTGTTGACTTATTCTGGGTGTCGCAGCGTGACCTCTTTCGCACATTGCGGAGACATTCCTCTAGGAATCCTGTTGCAGGTCTATGTTTCCTTCCTGGGGTGAACCACGCATCCTAAAGTAAAAACAAAAACACATACACAACAGGAAAGAATACAAAAATAGCAAATTAGAAAATAAGAAAACCAGCACAAGCCTTTGAATGAGGTAGTGGATTCACTTGAAATTTACAATTTATTTATTGGGAGTATCCACTCTGAGGTTTGTGTTTTAATTATATGTTGGTCACACAGTGATAGGCAAGTCAAATTCGTCTGTAAAGCACACTTTCAGTGATAAGGCAATTCAAGCTGCTTTTGAAGACCTGCGATATTCTATAACAGTGCTTAATATTGCGATATTGATATTACTCACGATAAATGAACAAATACTAAAATATGCAGTGTTGATGTCGTCTGGCGTGTGACGTCTTCTCTGGGTTCAAAGCAAACAAAAACTAATGCATGAATTCCATTACAACATAACATTTTTATAGCAAAAACATGCAGCTGCACCTGCTACTGTATTAGTAGCAAAACAACAAACTGCATGCATGCAGTTTCTCAGTGACTTTAAAACATCACCTCCACCATAAAACTTTTTCTGATTCTCCAAATACAGAAAAACATCCCTTACCAGGGTTTTTAGAATAAATACTTTAAATGTTAAATAATAGTTAACATCACTTAAATGCAACAGCAAATTCTCTCATTGCTACTGAACATTTTCTCCACTTATGTGGTTAAGATATAAGGATGTTGCTGTAATTGGAAAGTGAACTGTGCTGGGCCAAACTAGGAGAATATTAAGATTTTCTGAGGGAAAGAGAAAAACAATCGTCTACCTTTCAGAAGAGGAACTGGCAAAAAAACTACATGGAAAATATGTGAAAACGTTTGTTTTTAACCCCAAATTGAACAAGTTTACCTAGATCTTAAAAAGCAGCTCAGATGATGAAACTGCAACTATGATTCTGATAACAAGCTAACTAATTGAACTAGCTCCTCTAAGATAACTGGCTAGCAGAGCTTCTGACTGACAGTTTATGTGCAGCAGCAAATCAACTATCCTGATTAACAAGGTTATAAAAGCTCATAAATGAAAAATCACTTTGATGTGTGGGGGAACTTTTCCAGGCCCTCTTTAGCAGGGTGGGACTGGGAGGAGAGTGCTGTAGCCTTTTAGCTGGAAGCTAACCGGAGCCACCACCCGGTGGAACACTAGCGACATGAAGGTGGGTTGGTTCACCGGCACGTGTCGGAGTCAGCCCGGTAAAAATGATTACGACACCGAGCGGACTCACGTTCACGTTTGAAAGCAGCGCTGATTCCAGAAACCTCAGCACAAAGTGTGTTCGGTGCTCTGAGCCAGAATGACGAACAAGGGAACAGCGCTGCAAACTATGTTCAGCTGTTGCTTTCCAAAAGAGTCTATGTAGGGGGCGGGCGTATTACGTGAACGGACCCATCTGATTGGTCGCATATCAGAAGGACTACATTTGATTGGTCAAATAATACTTCTGCGTAAAAAACAGAGCTGGTTTACAAAAAGCTGATGTATGACACGGATGGAAATGTTTGAACCAAACATTTATCGCTGTTTTTGCCGTGTTTTGCGATGGGCCTATCACACGTCCTGTTATCGCGATGACGATAATTTTTCGATATATTGTGCAGCCCTAATAGATATTAATATAGATGATGGTAGGACAGTTTGCTGACTTTTATGAGAGTTTTAAATGTCCTTTATTTTTGATAACATAATAATGTCATATGAAACGTTACTTACATAGCCTGTGCCAAGACTGTCCTTTAGACATGGAAACTGCTCCACTACTGATGATGCCAGCAATACCTTTGATTCCGAGGGTGGACTTCAAAAGAAAATTGACATGTTACTTTATTATACACCCAAAACAAAAGATACTTTTGTACACTTATTATGAAACAGCTTTTTTATTGTTTTCAATCATATTTTGAAAACCATAATTTGTGATTCAACACTCCAAATCCTTTGGAAGAGATGGCCATGGTTTAAAAATCTACATTTGTTCACCAACTTTAAACAACATAAAAAAGAGAAGTCTATTATAAGTTTGAAAAGATGCTCACTTCTCTCCAAAGCACTCAATCAGGTGGGACACAAGTATCCTGACCATGGATCTTCTCTCACTTATAGAAATGTGATGGCTTTCTTCAAGGCTGTGAACTATTGCTCTTCCATCAGGTGTTTTGTTGAGTATCTCACGGATATTCTAATAATATGTGAACAGAGAAAAAGGATCTAATTAAATCTGCAAAGAAACCTAAACCTTCAATACATCACTGGGAAAGGTTAGAGGGATTTTCTGGAGGGAATGATAAGAATCCATTATTACTTCTGCATGGATAGTAAGACTTACAAATGATGTTCCACCCTGGACAGGAGCCACGTGCTGCAATTTGTCAGCTGGTGCACAAACAGACTCCGTTTGTTTAGGGCTTGAATCCTGGTTAAAAAAAAGCAGGGGAAGACCCTACATAACTACAAAAAAATTGATAAAGCATCTATAATTCTGATTGTAGTTTTAGTTACATGGTTCAAATCATAAAAACAATTATGGTATATTTGTCAAAAACACTCAGGTATATACTTACAAAAGTGATGATGATAAAGCTGATATGCAGCTCCACAGTTATATTGATTTTAATCAAATATTTTAATGATTTGAATGTATTTACATTTATTTGTCACAAAAATGAGGTAGTACCAGGTCAAAGCTCAAGACAGTACTTAAAACCCTTTGGGTTTAAAATAGCCTGTACCTCAGTGAAATGTAGGTCACTGCAATTCTCCTTGTAGGATTTCACAGCATGGAGAGGGTGATAGTCAGCAATGGAATCAATGTCCACTGCTTCAATCGCTGAGGTAGGGGAAACATTGAAGGCAAAAAAAATGCCTTTCAAAGCCGATTGTTTCCCACTTTTTTAAAATGAGCTTAGTATTCGAACGAAGTACCACAATGCTCTGAATAGTTCCAAACTGAGGCTCGCAGTCATCTGTATGAGACATAAATAATGTCATTCCTGTCCTGTAGCTAGTGCCCTTGTACTTAATCCAAGAAGGCAGATAAACGTCTGTAATAACAGCAACTCCTTCAAACCCAGATTTGACCTTCTCAAAATCCTCTATTGTACCAAGGAGTTTGGTATATCCTGGCCCAACTTCAAACTCATGGCAAAACATCTGGCCTGACAGGAGAGTGTAACACATCATTATTTGATGTCTGTAGGCTTGGGTTTTACAGATATTTCGAAAGTTGCAGGTAACATGACTCACTCTTTTGAAAAACCCATGTTTTGCCTCAAAGCGCATTGACCAGAAGTGAACAACAGGCCCAAGTTTCCGTATGGCTCTGGGATAGTGAAGCATGAAGTGGTGTTTGGGTTTTAGATGTCTGTCTGGGAAGAGCTCTAAATAAAGACAATGGTGCTTCTCAATGATGTGCCCCAAAAAGACTACTGCTCCTTCTGTTAATGAAGGAGAAAAAATAAACTCCATGCAGCTCAACAATAAAAGAAGCAACTCCCAATATTTGTTGTCCTCTGGAATCAAATCCCCTATCATGAGGGGAAGCAGTCTTAGCAGACACCATGTTTGTGAAGCAGATTGCCTAAGTCCAGTAGGGCTGCAACAAACGATTATTTGGATAATCGATTAATCGGATGGGGTCTCGACACGATTAATCGATTAATCGGATTACATGGGGAAATTTTTAAAAACTGCTAGGGAAACGTTATTTCTCTCCTTCCTTCACTTTATTTAACACAACATTATTAGAAAACAGTTCAATAGCAGAAAAACAACATGCCATCACCTAAATTGTCTTATAAGGTGTATAGACAGAGACCCTAAGCTACATCTATCTGTGACCTAAAATGCTTGGTCCAAGTTAAACAGCTTAAGGGCAATTCTCATCTGTTTTGTTTGATCTCATCTGTTGACATTTATTTTAAATGTAATTAAACATAGGCTGTGAATTAATCAAAATTGATCACTATTTCCAAAAATGACTGAAAAAATACCAAATAAAACAAAAGTAAATGAATGCCATCCTCCTTGCGATGATGCCCTGGGCAACTGCCATAAAGTCACATCAAGAAATGCTGCTGATCATTCCAATGATCCCAAATAGACTCACATTAGGCCACATGAAAGCAACTGAACCCAAAAATATATTAACCAGTATATAACTGCACTCTCACACAACACGCCTGCAGCAACAGTTAGGACTCCTCCCTCCCTTTTAAAAGCGTTTTTGCTTCTGAGGACATTGTGGTTGTAAAACCACATGCTAGTAGTCTGGCCCCGGTGTGATCAACCAGTTTCTGCGGGAATGTGACGGCAGAACCAGGGCCAGATTAACACTTTGTTGTACCCTGGGCAACAATATTCAAGGGCTCCATCATCACGACCCGAGGATCACCATAATGTGGTCACATACAGAATATTTTACTGTAATATGCAGTAAATATACTCAATACTTGAATGCCTGACAACACGTAACCCGCCCAGAGTAACCTTTGACCCACCTTGTGTGGACTGACCAATGAGTGGACTGACCAATGAGGAGAGGGTCTTAACTTGAGGCCCTCTCTTCATTGGTCATTCTGCATGAGACTGACTCTCAACTGACATTCGAAGTCGTAGGCAGCGAAGCGTCTCTGTGCAGCGCAAAAGCCCGGGTGGACAGTTTGTTTAATATATGGTGATCATATTTCCATTTCCAAACAAGAGGACAGGGGATCTGTGCCTATGACGTCACACTATGGCAACGCCACACAAACCATGCTGGGACCCATTTTTTGTAAGAACTAAATTAATATCAGATTCTGCCAATAAAAGGGCTCTAAAACAATTCATATGTAAATATTTTGCATATTTAATGCAAAATCTAATTTTTCTGCTTTAATGCTGCAACAAGGTTTTATTAATAATAAATTATTATACCTTTTGTATTACTACAGCATTGGTAAGCTTCCTGTGCACAGATGATTAAGGATGCTTGTTTCAGCTGTGAGATTAGACGATAGGATCAATGAAAAAATAAGTTGTCACACACTCCATGGAAACTTTCAGAGAATCCACAAATAGTGGCTTTCAAATGGTTTTGTTACTTTTTGCAAGTTTAGAAAAGAAGCAGATGAGACAGCATGTCTGATAATTTAGTTTTTCATCTGATAATATTAGAACATGTCAGTAATGTCTGAGGGGCTTTTATAAACACCATATAATTAACACTACTGGAGAGGGTATGAATTACACAGAGGCTTCTGGGGAGCCCAGTTATTTGGGGGGGGGGGGGGGGGGGGGCATTTTGCCTTGGCCCCCAAAATGTCTTGAAACGGCCCTGGGTGTGTGACTGAGTTTTGAAGGTGATCTGAATTGTATCAGATGTATAAATATTACATGTGTATAACTTATTGTTTTTTACTGGTAAAAACGTGTAGTGGTGATAAATCTACCTACATTTTACTTTTCAACACTTTGTTTTGTTTTCTTGTTTTTATTTAACTATTTTCCTGTCCTGTCTGTCTCTCATCTTCCTGCATCTCCTCTTAATTCTCCAGAAAATCTGTTGCCTGGATTCTTACCTTTTCACCTCATCAGTTACTTTTGAGCAGATCAAAGGGATCTCCTGACCGAAAAGCGCAGAGCGCGTTTTCGATGCTGCGTCAGTGAGGTGACATCACCACAGCACAGGTGATGAGCTCCGCAGTAGCGAGCTTCAGGCACAAATAAGACAGAAAATAGAGAACATGTGCGGACATGAACGATCGTATGCTAATTATAGTTTTTTGGTTGCGCCACTTTGAGAATGGACCGTGCGCTGGAAGCAGCTGCCTGGATCGCTGTGCAACAATGCGGAACCGGTTCGCAGCAGCGCAAGTCTGCCGGCTCTCCCTTGCGCTGATCTGCTGGTACCGGCTCTCCCTCACGCTGATCTGCGGCTCTCCCTCGCGCTGATCTGCGGCTCTCCCTCGCGCTGATCTGCGGCTCTCCCTTGCGCTGATCTGCGGCTCTCCCTCGCGCTGATCTGCCGGTACCGGCTCTCCCTCGCGCTGATCTGCGGCTCTCCCTCGCGCTGATCTGCGGCTCTCCCTCGCGCTGATCTGACTTGCTCTGGTCTGCGCGCAACGGCGGGCGGGAAGGGGGGGGGGGGGGGCGCTTTTGGAAGAGTTGTGCGACACAACGAATCGATGACGCAATTCGTTGCCAACGCTTTTAGTAATCGATTTTCATCGAATTTATCGATTCGTTGTTGCAGCCCTAAAGTCCAGTATCAGGATTTTTCAAGTCCTGAGGTTTGATGGTTGATGGCTTGTTGTGGACATCACAAAATCCATAGTCAAAGCTTGTCAACCTGTAGTTCAGCTGATCAAGAGTGACAATTTTTTGTTCAATCAATGCATTGAGCACAAGCTTAATTTCATAACCACCAATCCCTTCGAGGATATCATGCATGACATCAGGAGCAACATTGTCAGTCACATGGTAGAACTGCAACTTGTTAAGAGAGCACTCTCTCTTGATGCCAGTTTCAGCTGGTTTGTGTAGAAGCAAGTCTGAGTGGTAGTTAACCTTGTCACGTATTGATGAAGGAGCTTCAACTGTCTGTACCCTCAACACTTCCTTGTGAACTCGACACCACCGACACACGCTATTGCCTGCAAAGCTTTCTGTGTAACCAAGTATTCCATTAAGTCCAAGGTTATCACCACAGACCTGTGCCACTCCAGCCTTAACAATGCCTGAAAAACGTGTGGTTTCAACATGAAAGCCATTCAGTTCCATGTCTTTAATGTCATTCACAATTGGCTCTAAAATTGTGTTCATTCCATATGTTTTTACATCATCAGCTTTGTACACTGCCAACAAGAAGTGAGACTTTAAACTAGACATGTATTCCTGTGGCAAGCATTTCATTGTGAAATAGATAAAACCAAGTTTGTGGACTGATGTTTTTGCGCCAAGTGGATTCACCATCTCACACTCATCACTGTAAAGAACCAATGGAATAGAGAAATCTTTAGAGAAAAGTGGATTAGTTTCAAATATTGTGCCATCTCTGAAATCCTCTAAGGCAGCATTTTCAAGATTTTGCCATTCAAAGATCTTATCTATTGTTCCTGGACTTTCCAGAACAAGCTTCAACATGGGTTTCAAGGGAACATACTGGAAAGTGTCCCGAACTGCAACTTGTTTCACATTTCCTGACTCTCGATCAATTTCTTGTGTAAAGGAAAAGCCAGGGAGTGGTACTGCCTCTGGCTGTATGAAGAACCCAGACTGAGTAAAATATTTCATTTGCTTGTACTCTGATTCAAATCCTTGAAATGGTTCAGCTGCTTTGGTGAACTGCTCCATGAGGTCCTCTGCTTGTGGAGTCTCAGAGTGACCGATCTCTCTTAAAAAAGAGAGTGTTTTTCTCTTTAAGCAACCAACTACATCTCTGATAAGACCTGATGTGTTTTCAACTACATCTCTAATCCCACTGAATGTCTGAGAGGATGTTGCCTTTAACCTAGCTAAGAAGAGTGCAACTCTGTCCTTTATGTTGTCTTCCTCTAGCTCATCCCAATGTTCTGCTGTAGTCTCACAGCATTCCACCTCATTTAGCACACTTAAATGAGGATCTACTGAACTGTCAGGAAGTTCACCTGTGCTACTTTCTTCTGTTTCAATGTCAAACTCAATAGCATGCCCAATTATGTGTCGTCTGAATGATCTTATTTGATCAAAAGTGCGATGGCACCCAACTTGAGCACACTGGAAATAAGTCGAAGTAGAAAGTATATGATGCACCACTCTGAGATGGTTAAAAAAAGCTCTTATGTTATGACCTAAAGACCTATGACATTTAAAGCACACGTACCCCATTCTGTTTTGACCTCTGACACTGGTCATACCTCAAGTAATCTTTTTAAATTATTCTGAATTTTCAGGCGTGGACCCAGGAGAGGTATCAAAGTCGTCAAGCTGTTCGCATCCAAGAGGAAAAGGCTGTCTTTGTCAATCTTTTCAGCTGAAAAAAAGAAGGAAATTTGGATCACTGATCAATAAAACAACAAGCCACACACAGATGTAGGCCTGGGCAATAAAACAGTAACCATATGTACCGCAATGTAACTTTTTCTCAGTAGTAAAATGAGACTCGCAATATAGTTTGTCCATCTTTTTTTTCATAGCCAACTGAATTACACTATTAAAATAAACTATACCAGGACAGATTGGGAGAATTTGCTTTTAGTTTTTAGCTTATTCATTTGATATTGACAAAACGTTCGACAATTTATTCTCCTGTAAAACTTATTGTATCCTGAGATTTATTTTTAGTCAATATTTTGTTTCTAAGTGGAATTGACCAAGCAGTTAGGTCATTTTTTGTTCTCTTTTGAAACTTGAAAGCTTTAGTCCTGACTTTAGTTTATAATATTATGAACCTTTATTATTTTAGTCACCTGAAACAGATGTTATGTTCTCTCAGTACGACTGTCATGTTGAACCTTTGACAGGAAACTAATATTTAAATATAAAAGCAGCTTCTGATGATTTCACATTTAACTTTTAAGTAACAGCCCATTTAAATTTTACACAGAGTTTTTTGACTTATATTCCAATCTAATCCAATCCAATTTTATTTATAAAGCGCATTCAACATGGCATTACAACCAAATAAGGCGCTGTACACCAAAAATATATATTGTAATATATATTGTAATATATATATATATATATATATATATATATATATATATATATATATATATATATATATATATATATATATATATCGACATTGACAGAAAGGAAAAAGATGTATCGTGATATGAAAAATCTTATATCGCCCAGCTTTACACAGATGTAAATATGAGTACTGGTAGTTACAGTTTTTTACTTTAATTACAGAAATACATTTACTTTATCATACCTTCAAAAGCAGGGATGTATTCAGAGAGGTTCCATTCCAGAAGTTTGTCCTTCACAAATTCATCCATCTTTTAGAAAAAAACAGAAATCACATTTGGTTGCTGTATTTTTTTAACAGTTAATCACCAATATTACTTGCAGTTAATTAACAATTGAAGTTTACAAAGGATTATACAACAAAGCAGAAGCAGTATTTATCAACAATTAACACTTGAACTGTGCATTTAACGTCATCTGTTTGGTAAGATGCTGCTAAATCAGTAGCCAGTGAGCTCACCTGTCCGTTCCCTGTTTCAATCTGTTGTGTCCTACAAGCTTATTATTTTATAATGTCCCAAACACTTGCTGAAATTAATTGTTTTCATCTGGTAATATTGCCCACAACACTGGAGAGGAAATCTTCCGCGCTGTTCACAGCCATGCTGCTACTGTTAAACGCTAACAAAATAAAACGTATGCAAGTAGGGAGTAGCATAGATCATCTTTGGGCAGATTATCAAAAATAGAGCGCGTCCAGATCGTTTCAAAAGCTAACACATTATCTCAAGGATTCTGAGGATTGGATGACAATCCTCAGAACTTCCTGACAGTTTTGTGGGAATATCTACAGTTATAAATTAACATCCAACTTTGTTTTGGTACACATCTACATATATTCAAGCTTTAACATACCTTGAGTGAAATAAACCGGGCATTATCATGAAACTCTGGCTCCCATGATTCGGATGGATTATCAAGCAGTTTACCTTTGGCGTGCTTCATCAGCTGGAACCTATTAACTTTCACGTTAATGTACGCCCGTTTATTTGTGCGCTGCTGCACACGACTCTGAATGACACTGATTATATTTTATTTCACCGCTATGTAGCGCGAGCTGTTGTCAACTGAAAGCAGTAGCAGTTTGCGCGTTGCGCCGCCATTTGTTTGCTCCCCACCCCAGGGACAGGGGTTGTGGAGTTGGCGCGCGTGCCGTTATGTAACATGCATATGAACCTGTGAACGTAATCTGCCCGGCAACAGTTACAGTAGCGGGAAAGCTGCGCGCAACCACTTAGATAAGCTATTATTCTCCTGTAGCACTATGCCTATTGGTCTCCTGTCTCATTTCCCCACAGAAATGTATAGTAGAATTGGTACTACCAAAGAAGTAGTGCTGAGCTACACAAGTAGCGGGAGGTATTGCACAGACCGCAGCATAAAGAGCCCCTGCTGCTAGTGGGGATGCTATGCATAGTAAGCCTAACTTCCTGAGCCTCATCATGTCTAACAAACAAAGGGAGGGTGGACAAATGGTAAAACACTGTCTGGAGCAGATAGTTGTGTCACAGATTTTCTGTTCCATTATATCTAATGAAGTAGATTGATGCTAGGAAGCTATAGCTAGCTAGCTACTCGAAGCTATATTCGGTTGAAAATCTCTTGTAGGCTTAAAATCTCTTTGTTTACTGCATTACCTGCCTTCAACTGCTTTACCAGAACACATTTTCAAACTCCATCATCAACATCTTACCTTATTTTTAAACATTGCTGGTGTGAAGGTCCATGGAAATGAGGCAAGTCCTTGTCATCCTCCACTTTAAAATGGTGAAGCTGGCACAGACGAGGGGGAGGATCTTTCTTTTTACCGCCCCTTTTAACCCAACATGCTGGGTCAAAATGTTTGACCCAATGTTGTATTAAATTGACCCAACTGCTTAAAAATCAGCCTTAACCCAGCAGTTGGGTTAGCAAAATAACCCAGCATTTTTAAGAGTGTAGTTTAATTACAGTTTGATTTATTTGACATCTGTATAATGTTTATTATTTTGTTTTTCCCCCTAAATACCTAACGTTTGAGTTTAACATGAATATCAGTCATTCATCCCAATACATGAAGTTACACATTTTAAATTTTAATAGGGGAAGACTGCAGGAGGGAGCGGTAAAATCATAGACTGTACATACTTGCTACCCGCCGGCTGTGATCACAAGCGACAACATATTAGTTCCCGCTGCTTCTTCGGTAAACAGCGCAAACAAAAACAAAGAAACTTGGGATCTTGTCGGCGTGGCGGTGGGATTTAAGGGAAACGCTGTATGCCCTATAGACTTCTCACCGAGCTGCAGTATTTCTCCGGTCAGATCTGTCTCTGAGAGCTCCAAGAGCGGTCAGCCCGCGCAGAAACTAGCCGCCGCACAGGTCAGGCTGCCTGGCCTGACCGCTGGGGATTACCGGATGGAAGAATGGACACAGGTGTCACTCCAAGCCTGCTGGAGATTTTAAGGGTTCAGATGAAAACACCCTACCACTCAGGCTGCTTACACATCGATATTAAGTTGTCGCTGTTGCGCTCACGCCGTAATACAGTATTAGATGCGGTTAAAGTCAGACATGAAAAACTCCACGAGCGGTCAGACCGCGCAGCAGCTAGGCGCAGCAAGTAGGCGCCGGATCGTCCAGGCTGCCCGGCCTGACCGCTGGGGATTACCGGGTGGAAGAATGGACACAGAAGTCTCCCTCTTTGCGCTCCGTCATATTTCAACCCATTTTGATCTTTTACCATATTACCCATCTAAATATGCCCTATTAATTATTTTACCGTATTTTACATTTAAATTTCATGGTTAAACAGTACATGCTACATGTTAAACTGATAGTTAGCTAGCTACTTCGGTAAACTCAGCTAGTTTAAAGGTGGCAGTGACATAAAATACGAATATAGATTTTAACTTACCGAAAAAAATGAAGTGGAGACTCCTTGGACGCTCTATTAGTGCAATTAATACCACAGCAAGTCATTTTGTCCAACAATTGCACCAATAATATCCAAAACAGAATTCACAAGCACAGAGACTCAAAATCCCGAAACAGCTTCCAGGAGGGGCCGAGGCTGTACTGAGGCCTTTCCACGGAGCTAGCTCTGTGGTCACGTGGGTCTGAGGCGGCGGTCACGTGTGTCGGATGCTCATTAATTATACAGAATTTTAGGCTTTCAATACACTTAAACAGAAGAGTGAGAAAAAAATTCACCCCCCTCAGAGTTGTCATGAGTATAAACTAGCTAATTTAGACAAAAAACATGTTTTGGCACCAGGCTGTAAACATGTTTATTTCTGCTGTGAAATCGGCATTTTTAACATGGGAGTCAAAGAGGATTTGCTCGCTTCTGGCACCAGCCCCCAGCGGATGAGGGTGGAACTGCAATTTTTCTTACTTCCGGGATGGGACCATTTTTAGAGCGGCATTGTGGGGGCTCTCAATTCAGGGTCTGCATCCTTCGAAGGACGCAGCCCACTCGGCCGACGCGGGCTGCGTCCTCCGTCGGCCGGGTAGACCGGATGTTAACGGCTGTGAATTTGGACAGGCCTAGCCTTCATGAACTCCCTCCGCGAACGTTCCGTCGCCTAGCAACCGTGGAACCGCTGGGCAGAAGGGAGAAGGAACTTTAAACGATGGAGCTTGACGTTTTATTTAGCTTTTTAACCCCCAGAGACCCAAATTTAGAAAACAACTGCAAAATCTTTATTTAACCTTTCACATGTTGTTCTAGGCCAGATAAACGGGCCTATTTACACATTTTAACAGTCAATAGTGTTGCAGAACTGAACAATAGGACCTATTAGCAATGTAAATGTAGTTTTAAAAAGAAAAAATGGGGAAGGTTTATTCTTGTAGACTTAAATCTGATGTTGTAATGTTACAACCGTGGGTCTCTGGGGGTTAATCATTTCCTTGACTGTTGGAGAACTAATTCAGAGAAAATACTTTAGACAAGCTGAGCCTGAGCAAAGATGTGATAATAGTTTTTAATACTTTCTAAGGGTCTTAATTTGACCAAAACCCATTTATCAACTTTTAAGACTTTAAGACCCAGCGGATACCCTGTAATATTGAACAATTCTCATTTGTAAACAAAAATCAAATTCAAGAGTTTAATGCAGAACTGATTTTATTTAGATATTTCTTTTATATGTACATGTTTAATCTTTATTAACCATTTTTTTCTAGCAAAGTAAAAAGCTGTCAAAGTTATTCCTTCTCTCCTGGGCCCTCTGCCTCCCTCTGCAGCCTCATGTTCTCCCTGATCAGATCCAGAAGCTGGTCATCGCTGGCACCTTCCCCTGGATGCCCATTTTCTCCAGAATAGTCTTAACAAACATGTAAGAAAAGAAACAGGAAGAGAAAAGAGGACAACGGGTTATTCCTTTCATGTTTTCGCAGAAAAAATAAACTCAAACGAGTTTTTAAAATATGAGATGTTATTGTACCTCCATGCCACAGCCGCCGAATACTTTGCTCCGGTGATCATGTGGTCCATCTCCGCCCTAAGCTTAATAAATTCCCTGGTTTTCTCTTTTGTTCCTAAAATACAAACTTCTATTAAAATCAGGGGGAAAACGTAGCGGGAGAAATACGACACCGAGCGCGGCCGAACATACGAGCCGAGACCGCAATACAAGCACTTTTACTGTAACATTTCTAACTAAAATAACGTTCATGTATCACAAAAAGTCATTAACCTAACAGTTTTCAAGTTTATACTGACATTTATATGCGCAATCCTCTCCGACAGCTCCCGCTTCACTGTCCGCCATTGTTTTTAAGTTTTTCTGCTGGCCGGCCCGCAAGGCATCTTGGGAAATGCTACCTGTTGAAGGATACACCGGACCCATCCTTCATTCAGGCGAAAAGAAGGCCGCATTCGTCGACCGCATTTGAAGGAGTCGTCGAATTGGGACAGGCCTAGTCGCGGCGCTGTGACGTAACCGGCTGACGAATCCGGCCGACGTAGGATGCAGACCCTGAATTGAGACACAGCCACTAAGCTAATCAGGCAGCATCACGTGGGTCTTCAGCGTTTGTGAGATCATACAGGTGACTCCAATTCCTTTACAAACCTTAAGGAATCACGTGGTAATCTCAGATTGTTTCATGGATTTTTTTACCTTAAACAACGGAATGACTGCTGGTTCCATGTACACGTTACTATAGAGCATTATTACCTTGTAGATTATTAGAATAAACAAAATTAATTTTGCTTTTTTAATTAGATCTTATAACTTCCTCGTGAGCATAAAGTGGGTGTAAAAATTAAAGTGGGTTGTTTAGGCTAATAAAATGTGCATTTGTTTATTCAACATAAGCCTGACAAAGCAGGTATGAAAATGTCAGTTATTGTTATTTTAATTATTCAGATTTTGTTAACAAGTCCCTTGGTCAGACATTTATTTACTGTAGAGTTTACTACTGATAACCTCAAATAGGCCCGGAGTGGCTAATCGGGGTCTGGACCGCAAGGCGCGGTGTTGTTTTTGTTTGTTTGTGTGTTTGTTTGTTTGTTTGTTTTGGACCGGTGCTCAGTCGTCATGCCACTGGGCTGATCCCTAAGACTGCCTACCTGCTGAAAGGGCCTCTCATGTCAGGTACAAAAACAAAAACATATTTTTTATAACTCGTCAGTTCTTGTCTTCTTCTCTTTTTCTGTTGGGGTTAGGGTTCAGTCATGGCTTTGATCAGACCGCGCTGTCCCCGGGCCGCCTCTGCCTTTTTTCTGCAGGCGCTTCCAGACGGAACACTTCAGGTGACTCTGGGTGGGAGAAGCAGGACTCAGGAGGAAAACTCTAGAAACAGACGCCACTAAATGTGCAAAATGGGCATTTTTCACTAAAACGTGCTATTTCCGGAGTCAGCAGCAAGACCCAGCAGCATCAGCAGGTAGGATCACTCACTCACTGAGGGAATATTATGAGAATGAATAATGGAAAGGATTACAAAGACCTGCTCTATTAAAGAGGTCCAGATGTTGGCTCTGTCCGGTTCGGTCCGGACCTCATGGTAAAGCCAGGGGGGCAGACTCTCCCACCAGATCCACGGTGCAATTCAACCTGACAACAGTTATCTTTATTTTCATTTACATGAATGATCATGAGGAATCATCTGGACGAATGTGAAAGAAAAAAATCTGTAGAGAAGGAAAATGGAAAGTGTAGGAGAAAACGAGGATGTACTTCTTTAGTAAATGTTCACTGATGAGTTTTCGTGTTTGGGAAATTACAAGTGAGGTCAATCACAAGTTGTGTTTTCATAAAATAGTGTTTCCATCTGAAAATAAGTCAGGGTTTTATTTTAACTTTATTTCTCAGTGTTGCAGCTGGATGCTCTTCTGCGCACCTCTAACAGGTTACCAGACATTTGAGATTATTTTCTAGTTATTCAATTAAATTATAATTGTATAATGAATATTTTTCTAAAGCAAAGTTTTAATAAGTTATTAAATCAGACACATCAATGCCATAGACACAATCTCTGTCACACCGCTGCATCTTTCGGATCATTACTTCATCCATTTCAGCACGACTCTACAAGGGAGGTCCACTGCTTCCTCCCCAATGGTCTCATTCCGCCGCAACCTCCGCAATCTGGCACCCAACTACTTCTCCTCTCTTGTTGCCTCCACTCTTCCATCTCCCAGCACATTCTCTGCTTATGAAGTGAATGAAGCCACCTAGTCACTCTGCTCCACACTCTGCTCTTGTCTTAACAACTTGTGCCCTTTAGCCACTAGACCTGCTAGATCCTCTCAGTCGCACTCTTGGCTAAATGATACCCTCCGGTCTCTACGCACCAATCTTAGAGCTGCGGAACGGAAATGGCGCAAAACAAAAGATCCTGGTCATCAATTGAAATTTCAGGAATTACTGTCCTCATTCTCTGCCAGCATCACTGATGCAAAGAAAGCTTTCTACACTGACAAAATTCTCAGC